TATGCAGCAAGAATTACTCTCTCTCTCTCTCTCTCTCTCCCTGCCTCCCTCCCTCCCTCCCTCCCTCCCTCTCCCTCTCCCCCCCCCCCCCCCCCCCCCCCCCCCGCCCTTCCCTTCCCCGCAACCTTCGCATGCCCGAGGCGACGCCTTTTAGACCATCCCGGCCACTGGTTTCGGCGGACTCAATTTCTGACTCTTAAAGCACCAAGATTACTTAGCTGTATGTTTTGTCTTATAGTTCAAGTCAGTAAATAAAGGGGTCATGAAACGATATCGGGTTGGAATGTTGACGACTTTGAAGAGGCGCACTGTTCCCACTCTGGCCCAAGTATACTCGCACAGACCGCCACGGAATCAGAAGCTTCTTTGTTGCGGTGAAATTGCGAGGTTAAAAGAAGACTATTTCTTTCAGCCTTGCCTTCGCAAAGCTTGATGACGTAATTGTGGCATCGAAACCACACGCCTGACGACAGTCGAGCGCGGCTCATGGATTGTACACGAGAACTGCGTGAGCGCTCGATTTTAGCTCGTAACAATTAATGCCTCGGCGGACAGTCAGGTAGTGGCTCGTGTCCAACCCCTGCGGTGATGGGAATTGCCGAGCTCTGACAATGCCTGGTGCTCGGCAAACGTTTTCTAGTCTTCCAACCTCAGCGCATAGGATAGGCATCAGGCTTTTGGTGGCGTAGGATAGGAATCAGGTCACGTGGCCACTTGTTCTGGCTCCGAGTTGAGGGGCTGAACGATGCTCATATTTCTCGAATTATTTTTGCGACTGCCATCGCTAGGAAGAAAAACTAAGGCAAGTTCATTCAGTTATTAACTTTAGGGAGTTATTCGAGGGTGGAAACATGCAGTTCAGCGATCGGAGGGCACCCAGGGAAAACCAGACGAAAGAGAAAACCGCCGCGGAGAGCACAATGGCGTAAATGGCGGGAGGTCTACCTCGAAAATGTTCGACTGTTGTGACACAAGCAGTTGGAAATGTTAGATTCCAAGGTGGGAGCGCTACCGCATCATATCAGGACTTCACCTGCGCAGTTTCCCAGGCAAGAAATTTCAACTGGGACCCTGGTCCCAGTTCCAACTGGTTTATGGAACAATTCCCAGTTCCAACTGCCCTAGTAGCACACTTCGTCCTGTGAACGTCTTTAGGATGTCCTAATGTCCCAGGGATGTCCTGCGGACGTTCACAGGATATTTGTGCTGCTTGGGTGGTCCCTGTTAGAGTTGGTCCCAGCTGGAATCGGTCCCAGTTACAACTGGTCCCAGTTGGAGTTGGTCTTAGTTACCACTGGTGCGAACTCCAGCAACAATGAAACATGGCACGAAATGGAAGGTTCACAAGTTTTTATTGTCAAAACTTGGAGAATAAAACTAAATAATAGGTTTGGTGACGTACAGGTTTCCAGGTTTAGCCACTTGCTTGCGACGACTGAATCGCTTTATCAGAGGTGGTATTCGTGAGATGAAGGAAGACTGGCCGCTGGCGTCTGTTAGCGACGTCCTCAGCTTCTCTCCCCATCGCGCGAAGAAAGGTGCTCATCAGTGTTCCCGCGTATTTAGCAAAAGTAGAAAAAATCGCTTCATGGCTCCTTTGATTAAAAAAAAAAGAAGCTACTTAGACGAGTTCCAATCAGTCGTAGCAATTACTAGAATAAAGACGCAATATTCTTGGGACTGTTTCTGAGCTGCGACTGCAAACTTTTTTGGGCGGCGAATTTTTTTTTTTTTTTCATTCTTCTAATGGGAAATTTGCTAGCATCCTTTGGGTTACTGTCTATTGCTATTGTGCCCAAGTAATCATGCCACCTGACATCAAGGGGGTCATCTCTTGCCCTCTCTCAAACTGAACATCATGATGAATTTATGCAAGCCAGCAAAGACACGTACTGTATGAATAAAGTTGTAGACCGGGTCAACAAGGTCATAGGAACGCGGAGTCATCCTTTTAAACCTTTCAACTGAAGTTTACGAGGCCCTATGGAGATGCTCTATGCGTGCGACACTTTTTTACATTTTCTCCAATTGCTTCGCGTTTTGTTCCAAAACAGCCCCTAATCCAGAATCGCATCTGCTTCATTTTCAGCCAGTGGAACCTGAATTTCCTAATTACTGAATCTACCTATACAGAAACGTCCCAAGGTGTATAATAAAACGATCGTGTGTATTTCGTAAAATGGTGAAATATACACATTGCCGTCATGGCTGTTGCCACCACCACTATCGTTATGATAGTCAGTATTATCATCAGCATTAGGGGCCTCATGAAGAACGCCTTAGCCCAGGGCCCCAAAATTCTTTAATCCGGCCCTGGGCGGCTGTTTCAGGGGGGGCGGGGGGAGGGCAAACCACATGCCTTGCCCCCCCCCCCCCCCCCCCCAACCCCACGGAAATCGAGGGACCACTTTTTTGGACGCGCTAAACTCACCATTTGGAGTCGCGTTCCATGCACGATAGTGGGACGCAACGACTTGTTTTTGCAGTGCGTGGTGAACTTCGAGGCGTCCTGCCTGCTGCTGGGTGGAGCCGGGGGAGAGCGGCTGCCACTGCTCACCGCAAGGGAGGCCTCTGCCTTCACGAGACGCGCGCTGAGGACCAGCGCCGGACACACCGTCCAGTTCGACCTGTACGGATGAACCTTTCACTAGGTTCGAGTTGTTAGACCTCTGAATGTTCGCCAGAAGTACCACTCAAGTTAAACTATGACTATGCGCAGAAAATAAAAATGAGCTGACAACCTGGTGGAGGCTCCGGCCCCAAATCTCCGCCTTGGCTTGCAGTGGGGCCAGTGCTGGGGTCGCCGACTAGGTTTCACCAGAGGAAGATTGGCGACCCCTTTACCTGGGGGAAGACGCGGAAGGGGGGGGGGGGGTTGAAGTTTTGAGATTTTTTTGCCCGATTTCTCGAAGGTCGACTATCCCGGTGATATCCCACTCCGCAGAAAAAAGAAGTCATACTTTCAGTTTTTAATCTTTATGCTAGGTGGCGCAAGCTACCACCCAAAAAAAAAAGGGTGCAGGCGTTAGCATTTATCCATCTATGTTTTGAAAAGTGGCGAAATTTTAACTTTCCTGAATCCGAATATTTGGCGCTGAATTTTCGATTCGGCAAAATTTGGGCCCATCACCTACCCACGGACATTTCCCATAGAGCCAATTGACTCCGTAAGTGTGACGTCATGGGTCCAAACAAACCGTTGCTAGGGTCGTTGTTATGGACAAATACATGTGGCTAAGATTCACTACGAAAACACGACCGTTCAAAAATCAGGAGTAGGATTTAAACTTCTAAAAATCGCAGATATAGAAAGCTTGAATGTCATATATGTTTCGACAGAAGTGTGCCGGTAACCGCTTGTTTCTGAAATATTTACGACTGCAACTTCCGGTCCTCAAGATGCCTGCGCAGCAGACGACGAATGCAAGAAGAATGCCGTCTGCCACAGGCCGCCGGCGCCGGCGTCTGAATCGGGTGGATAAAGACGAGATTCTGATATGGCATTTGTTCCAAATATAATGAGTTGAAGGTAAACATTTTCGGCAGATATCTGCCTGGTTGGGTGAATTTAAATGTAAAGAATAAAGAAATACGCCAACCAAAAAGTCGAAAAATTGTCCCAACGTTTCGAAACAGTTCGTTTCTTCCTCAGGGGCGACTAAACGGGATAATAGCTTCTTTGTCTTTCTTTGAACTGGCTATCTCTTCTTCTTCATTGTCGATTGCTGGTTGTCTTCGTTTCGCCTGCGCCGTCTTGATTGTATCTCGTAACCCATGAACATATAAACTGGGTAAGGTGCCTAGAGACCTATTGATGTTATTTGCGGTGTTTTGAATATGCCAGGATTCTATCATCTGTCTTCTGCGTAGGGTCGTCTCAGTGCCCAGAATGCTTGCATCTTCAAATCCGATACGGTGGTCATTAACCTCACAGTGCTCCGCCAGAGCACTGCGTTCGCGGTCGAAGTTGCGTACGTCATTTTTGTGTTGCCGTTCTTGGAAGTTTTTAGTTTCTCCAATGTAGGAGGCGGGGCACTGGATGCAGGATATTTGGTAAATTACACCCTGGGCCCTTTCCTTGGGTGGACGACTTTTTGGCCGAGGTAGAAAACGCCCGAGTGTGGTCACAGGTTTATGGGCCACGGTGACGTGTTCTTTTGCAAAAATCCTGGATAGTGTTTCACTTATCCCTTTTGTGTAGGGTATGCTGATGCGTGCAATCGGTTTAGGACGTGCAGTCCCAGTAGGTTGCCCGTCTCGGCGACTGCGGTTTAGACGGTGAGTGATCTGGCGAATGAAGTTACCTGTGTATCCATTATTTTTTAGATCACGGGTGATCGCTTGCTCCTCTTTCCTTTTGTCTGTTGCAGATGAACATATATTCTTTGCCCTCATCAGAAGTGTCGAAACTACTGACGCTTTGTGACTTAGCGGGTGGTTTGAATCAAATTGGAGGTATCGTCCCGTGTGCGTAGGCTTCCTATACACTGTAAAATTCAGTGCCTCACCCTGTCTTTTGATTAGCACGTCAAGGAAAGGTAAACAGCCGTGCATTTCGTGCTCCACCGTGAATTGGATGGCTGGTTCAATGGAGTTCAAGTGAGCCAGGAAGTTGTCCACTTCTGACGCTAGTATGATACAGAAGCAGTCGTCGACGTACCGCAGGAATATTTGGGGCTTGGGGTTGAATGATTGTAGCGCCTTGTGCTCAATCGCTTCCATTGCCAGGTTGGCCATTGTGACTGAGATGGAAGCGCCCATTGCCGTTCCGCTGGTCTGTTGGTAGAACTCCCCCTTGAAGGTGAAGTAGGTGTTCGAGAGACAAAACTCAAGTAGGCGACATAGCTCATCCCTGCTGAGGCATGTCCGGGTGTCCAGGTCCTCGTCTTTCTCGAGAGCTTCCCTGGTTGCAGCGATGGCCAACCAGGGAAGCTCTCGAGAAAGACGAGGACCTGGACACCCGGACATGCCTCAGCAGGGATGAGCTATGTCGCTGTTATGTACATTTAATTACACTGAAGCTATGTACATATATACAGGTCAGGTTCGGGACAGTACATGATGGACTGGCGGTTCGATCAGCGGTCCGAACTGCACGAGCACGAGCACTCACAAACCTTGTCACTCGTCGTCTTCTTCCATTGACGCGAAGGTACGCTCGCATTCGCGCCTAGCAGGCGCATATCTTACACTCCTCCCTACTAGACTAAGGCACATAGTCGTTAAGATAAGTAGGGCGGCGTGTTGCTCTTTGAGGTCTCGAAGAGTTGCTAGGGGAAACTGTTGTAGAACCAGCTGGTTGGACTGCTGGTGTGGCATCGGACCTAACGTCCGCTTCTTCGGAGACCGCTTCAGGTAGAGCAGTTAAACTCAAGTCAACTGAAGAGTTATCTTCCGAGTTTCCTGCAGAAGTTGTCGCTGGCTTCCTGCGCAACTGGTCAACATGGCGACGCCAAGATCGTCCATCTTCGGTTTCAATCCTATAGGATAGTGGACCGGTCACGGCTGTGACTACTCCAGGGGTCCACTTGGCACCGGACAAGTAATTTCTTGCATAAACGTTTTCACCTACTGTAAATAGTCGTGCCTTCTTCCCTTCCTGGAGAAACTTGTCCTCTTGTTTCCATGATGAATGGAACTGAGAATCTGGATGCAGGCGATCTAATGCTGTTTTCAGGCGTCGGTTCATCAATAGTTCCGCAGGACTCCTGCCCGTTAAGGAATGTGGCAGTGTATGTTGACGGAACAAAAATCGCGCCAAATCGACGTTTACGTCGCCTGAATTTATGTGAGTGAGTGCCTCCTTGGTTTCTCTCACCATTCGTTCGGCCTGGCCATTCGATGAAGGGTGGTAAGGTGCCACTGCCACGTGTCGAATCTGGTTGCGGCTTGTAAATTCCTTGAATTCGGCCGAAACGAAGGCTGTGCCATTATCACTGACAATGACGTCTGGCACTCCGTGTACGGCAAACAGCATCCTCAGTTTCTGTACGACGGCTGAGGAAGACATAGAATTCATAATACATACATCGAGCCATTTCGAGAATGAATCGACCACGATCAGAAAGATCTTTCCCTTGAAAGGTCCTGCAAAGTCAACGTGTAGACGTGACCAGGGATGTTGCGTCGTCTCCCAGGGATGCACTGGTGCCCGTGGCATTGATGGTCTGTGTTCTTGGCATGTGGAGCAATTTGCAGCCTTTTCTTCAATGTCATGGTCGATGCCAGGCCACCAGACTGTACTCCTCGCTAGTGCCTTCATCCTTACAATGCCTGGATGGGCTGTGTGTAAGATGTCGAGTACAGTGGATTGTGCCACTTTGGGAATAACAAGCCGGCTTCCCCAAATGATGCATCCCTTATAAGTTGATAGTTCATCTTTCCTAGTGGTATAGGGTTTGAACTGTTCGTGTTGCTTGTCATCTGGCCACCCATGCATGATCCAGCGCTGGACTCGCGCAAGCACGGAATCTTTTCTCGTGGATGCTGCAATTTTTTCGGAGTTCCAAGGCTGTTCTGGAGCGGTCTCTAGCATCCATACGTCTGCGACTGGAATGTCGTCCAGCTCTGTTGCAGGTATAGGCAGTCGACTGAGTGCATCAGCGTTTCCTATCTTGCTTCCCGGACGGTACTGCAGATCGTAGTGGTATGCGGCTAGCATTAGACTCCACCTGAGAACTCTTGGTGACACCATAGCTGGAATTTCCTTGTGCGGACTCAGCAATCCTAGCAGAGGCTTATGATCGGTGATTATGGTCACCGGGCGGCCATAGATGTACTGGTGAAACTTTTTGACACCATATATGATCGCCAGGGCCTCACGATCAGTTTGCGAGTAATTTCGCTCAGCTTTGCTTAGGGTTCTGGACCCGTAAGCTATTGGTGACTCTTGCCCAGAGTCGGCCACGTGACTCAAGACAGCTCCAAGACCGTAAGGCGAAGCATCGCAGGTCAATAATAAAGGCTTGCTGGTATCGTAGTGAGCCAGAACTGCCGTTGATTTGAGCAGTTCTTTCGCCTTGCGATAAGCCTCAGCTTCGAGAACGGTCCATGTCCAGCTCGCCCCCTTATCCAGCAGTCTGTACAACGGCTCCAAGGTGTGAGCAGCTCCCTTGAGGAAACGATGGTAGAAGTTAAGCAAGCCCAGGAATGACTGTAGTTCCTGTTTGTTCTTGGGCTCTGGAGCTTCATGAATGGCCTTGACCTTGTCTTCAGTTGGTCGCACCCCGTCCTTGTCAATCCTGAATCCCAAAAACACGACTTGCATGGTGTTGAACGTACATTTTGCCTTGTTAAGGCGTAAACCGTCTTCCTTGAATCGCTGCAGCACAGCTCGCAGGCGTCTATCGTGCTGTTCTTTGGATTCTCCGCCGATAAGTATGTCATCTAAAAAAATTAGTACTCCTTCAATTCCGGCAAGTAACTCCTCCATATAACGCTGGAAGATCGCTACGGCGACGGATACTCCAAATGGAAGACGGTTAACCTTGAAAAGTCCCTTGTGCGTCGTGATGGTGAAAAGCTTTGCCGACTCATCATCGACGGTCAACTGCTGGTAGGCCTGTGCAAGGTCAAGCTGTGTAAAGCGACGGCAACCCGCTAAGTTGCTCAGGAGTTGCTCTGGCGTGGGCAATGGGTAACATTCCCACTTCACTGCCTTGTTTACGGTACTTTTATAGTCACCGCAAATCCGCAATTCACCACTCTTTTTCAGGATTGGAACTATCGGTGTAGCCCAATTTGAGTGTTTTACAGGTTCAAGGATTCCCTGCTGGACCAACTTTTCTAGTTCTTGCTCCACTTTCGGACGCATCGCATAGGGAACTTGCCTTGACTTGCAGAACTTAGGTGCAGCAGATCTGTCGACCTCCACACGGATGGGTGGTCCCCGACTCTTTCCCAGGCCAGCGTCGAAGATTTCCTTGAACTCCTCCAGGAATCCGCTACCCTCCTGGGTGTTCCTGAGTTGATGGACACCTGTGAGGCCGATTCCTAGATGCTTGAACCAGTTTCGTCCAAGAAGGCTTGCGTACTCTCCCTTGACCACCAGAAGTGGCAGAGTTGCCGACCTTTCTTTGTGTTTAACCTCCACGAGTACTCTTCCTAGGACGATAACAGGCTCCTTCGTATATGTGCGTAGCGCAACCGTAGATGGTTTCAGCCTCTGATTTGGAATATGAAGTCGTGCCATTGTTCTCCTGCTTATGACAGAGAACATGCATCCTGAGTCAACCTCCATCGCTGTTGGCTGTCCGTCGATGTCGACGTCTACGAGGATAGCAGGTTCGTTGGACGAGAGGTTGTACAGCTCGTACATCTTGCTGGTATCGCCGTCTAAAAGATCAGCTTGCGCCGTCCCCCGTCTTGCTCTTGGAGGACTTTTCTTAGCCTTCTTTTGAAGACAGGCTTTGACAATATGTCCTTTGCGGCCACAGAACAGGCATGTGGCGTTCTTGAAGTGGCAATCCTGAGGAGAGTGTGCCCCGTTGCATCGATAGCACACGGAAGTCGCTTGCTTGGTTTCAGGCTTCGCATGATGTTGTGCAGGCGGTGACGGTCCAGGTCCATCTTTAGCCACGCTGTGGATTTGGCTGACGTCCTTAGGCGTAGTCCTAATCTCCATGGCATTGTTCTTCGCACATTCCGCTGCTATTGCCAACTTCTCCGCTTGAGCCAACGTAAGCTCGGCTTCGCTCAGCAGACGTCGTTGCAAGGCCTCATCTTTAACTCCACAGACAATCTGGTCGCGCAAACTGCTGTCGAGGGCGTCTCCGAAGTTGCAGGTAACTGCAATACGGCGTAAGTCCGCGATGAACGCAGCCATGGGTTCGTCGCTGTGCTGTGCCCGCTTATGAAACTTAAAGCGTTCCACGATCTCCGAGGGCTTTGGTGCAAAGTGATTTCCCAACTTCTTAATGATGTCAGCGTAGTCCGTCTCTGAAGGTGTCGTTGGCGCGCAGAGGGAATGCAGTATTGCATAGGTCTCGGCTCCGCAAACGCTGCAGAACACGGCTCGCTTCATCTTGGGTGTAGCGATCCCATGGGCTTCAAAGTGGAATTCCAGCCGTTGAAGGTATAATGGCCATGTCTCCGGCTTACCTGCCTGGAAAGCTTCAAATGTCAGCGATGTCCTTTCAACCATGATGAGTTGCCGGAGTCTCGCCCGCTTTTTTCGATTTCCTCGTCGCCAAATTTGTTATGTACATTTAATTACACTGAAGCTATGTACATATATACAGGTCAGGTTCGGGACAGTACATGATGGACTGGCGGTTCGATCAGCGGTCCGAACTGCACGAGCACGAGCACTCACAAACCTTGTCACTCGTCGTCTTCTTCCATTGACGCGAAGGTACGCTCGCATTCGCGCCTAGCAGGCGCATATCTTACAGTCGCCTACTTGAGTTTTGTCTCTCGAACACCTACTTCACCTTCAAGGGGGAGTTCTACCAACAGACCAGCGGAACGGCAATGGGCGCTTCCATCTCAGTCACAATGGCCAACCTGGCAATGGAAGCGATTGAGCACAAGGCGCAACAATCATTCAACCCCAAGCCCCAAATATTCCTGCGGTACGTCGACGACTGCTTCTGTATCATGCAAGCGTCAGAAGTGGACAACTTCCTGGCTCACTTGAACTCCATTGAACCAGCCATCCAATTCACGGTGGAGCACGAAATGCACGGCTGTTTACCTTTCCTTGACGTGCTAATCAAAAGACAGGGTGAGGCACTGAATTTTACAGTGTATAGGAAGCCTACGCACACGGGACGATACCTCCAATTTGATTCAAACCACCCGCTAAGTCACAAAGCGTCAGTAGTTTCGACACTTCTGATGAGGGCAAAGAATATATGTTCATCTGCAACAGACAAAAGGAAAGAGGAGCAAGCGATCACCCGTGATCTAAAAAATAATGGATACACAGGTAACTTCATTCGCCAGATCACTCACCGTCTAAACCGCAGTCGCCGAGACGGGCAACCTACTGGGACTGCACGTCCTAAACCGATTGCACGCATCAGCATACCCTACACAAAAGGGATAAGTGAAACACTATCCAGGATTTTTGCAAAAGAACACGTCACCGTGGCCCATAAGCCTGTGACCACACTCGGGCGTTTTCTACCTCGGCCAAAAAGTCGTCCACCCAAGGAAAGGGCCCAGGGTGTAATTTACCAAATATCCTGCATCCAGTGCCCCGCCTCCTACATTGGAGAAACTAAAAACTTCCAAGAACGGCTCCGTCAACACAAAAATGACGTACGCAACTTCGACCGCGAACGCAGTGCTCTGGCGGAGCACTGTGAGGTTAATGACCACCGTATCGGATTTGAAGATGCAAGCATTCTGGGTACTGAGACGACCCTACGCAGAAGACAGCTGATAGAATCCTGGCATATTCAAAACACCGCAAATAACATCAATAGGTCTCTAGGCACCTTACCCAGTTTATGTGTTCATGGGTTACGAGATACAATCAAGACGGCGCAGGCGAAACGAAGACAACCAGCAATCGACAATGAAGAAGAAGAGATAGCCAGTTCAAAGAAAGACAAAGAAGCTATTATCCCGTTTAGTCGCCCCTGAGGAAGAAACGAACTGTTTCGAAACGTTGGGACAATTTTTCGACTTTTTGGTTGGCGTATTTCTTTATTCTTTACAATATAATGAGTTTATGGTTAAATTATATGAAAAAATGGTTTATCGAAAGTCCGGGCGTCGATCGAGATGATCGTCTGCTAAAAGATCGCAATGCACCCGTGAGAAAAGCACTTAGGCGACCGGTGGAGATCCCAAATTTTGTTTGCGGACTCGCGATATGGGAGGGTGCTTTGTACCTGGTTGTAACCATCGCGTGGAGAAAGGTTTTTGCAGTTTCTTCAGATTTCCGCCAAACCCCAAAACGCGAAAGAACTGGATAAAAAACATAAGGTGGGTTTATTACAGATTGTACTCTCATCGCTGGTTCGATGGAAATCTTCACCGAAAGAGCACATCCACTAAATTTAATGTATAAAACAAATTGTGAAATTTCGGTAGACATGCAATATTTTAATAACCTGAACCTCAATAATAATAATAACAAACGACTTACCTCGACGGCGTACGATTTGTTTCTCATGCTGGCCTGCACTACGCCGGTAATGCATTTCAGGTCGTCGTCGTAACTGATCTGCATGACGTGGTTTGATTTTACGGAATTTTCGCCCCTGTGAACTAAGCTGGATTCTTCACAGAAAAAAAAAAGAACACATTGCGGAGGCCTCTGCGGCTATGGCGATGCACTTGCTTGTGTTGCTCGTTTACCAACGCAATTCAATGAAGACGCCCGCTGCAACAGAGGCCAGCAAATCTATCGTGTCGTCTGCTACCAAAGCAAAGCGGAGTGGAATACTTCAGAAATGGCTTTCATCGTTGCAATACGACGCTGAGATGACAAGAACATCTCCATAATTAGATATCAAGAAGTTAGGTTGCTTACAAAAAAATGATTTACTTGCTTATAAGCGAAAATCTAGCCTCGTGTGGAGTCTCCATGCATTAATCCATAGCAACGTCCCTAGCAACGGTTTGTTTGGACCCAGATGCCATGTTGTGACGTCATCATTTTTTTTAATTTTATAATTAAAATTATAATTATAATTATAATTTTATAATTTTATATTTTTTAGATTATAAAATCATAACAACTAATCATGCTATTAATAAAATACCTGGCAGGCATTTCAAAACGGCTTTCTATAGCACGTTTGAGCGTAGTAGTCTACTTAGAAGCCGTTTCCATGCCAAGCCATAAATAATCCAAAGTGGCGCCCTTCTATTTTTGTAAAGTGGTTCTCGTGCGATCGCTTCGGATGCTTCGGAGTCGTGCTGGAGCGAGGCTTCTGAGCCAGAGCCGTATATGTAGAGAGTTTGGCCATTCGCTGGGAAGCATAGGAGACAAATGCGGAGGCGCCATTGGCTGAAAGCGGGCTGGGCGTGTTCCAGGGCGTCTTCAGAAATTCGAATGTCACCAACCAGAAGCCGGAAATAATACCCTGGCGGTGGTCGCGAGAAACAAACCTGACAACTGCGTTGAAGTAACTCTCGATGGCTGAAAATATGGTACACGTGATGTTTTAATCACGCTCATCCAAAATGATGGTGGAAGAGTGCGACTAGCGAAACGATCGACATAATCCGTACGCCAAGCGCCGAGGGCCGGGAATCTGCCGCCCGAGCGGTCACGCTCTGTCCGCGCAAAACAGAGTTGAGCGGCGCATTCGTTTCTTACATCTTTCTGCATGATCATGATGAAAACAACACGTGCACCCTATATTCAACCACGAAGAGTTACTACACTTCACTCTTACGCGCTTATTAAAACCATATACGAACAGAAACCTTTGATCAGAACTGTTTCTCGCTACCACCGCTAGGGGATTCTTTTCGGCTTCTGGTTGGTCAAGAGAGCATGCCAAGCCCTCTTTCCGAGTCAAACGCACGCCCTGGCTCTGCCCGCGCCTCCCACTGACCAAACTCTCCACATATACGGCTCTGTCCTGAGCTGCACGCCCGGTCCTGGTAGTGTAACAATGGCGACTATTAGCAAACCGTTACCGCGTTCCGCGTACCGCACTATCGGAGCCTTTGAAGTGTGCTTTTAAGCGCGCGCCCCGCGGTTACGGTATCACACCGGGACCGTTTAAAAGGCATGATTCAATGCTTCGATAGTGCGGCACGCGGACCTCGGTAACGGGTTGTTAAAAGTCCCTAATGTAGCATATGCCTACGATGTGCGATTTCGCTTTCAGCTGTACAAGGTGCGTAGTCGTGTGTGTTCGTTGTTGTTTTGTTTTTAGACGGTCAGCCGTCCAGTAAGGAATCGAGAGCTGCGACCGAACTACAGGGTGAAACAAGGAGACGCTAGAGCACTATACAGCTCTTACGGAGCAGAGTAGCGCAATTCTTTGAACCCCGTGTTTTGCCCACAACATGGCCGACAGAGCGGCTCGGCGCGAGTCACGTGGTACTCAGGGTTCCAGGAGGCGGCCCGCCCTATGGGAGAATACATGGAGATCGACACAACACGGTTGATTAAAAAATGAATGGCGAGTTCACACTTTTTAAAATTAGTCTCGTGAAGTTAGTAAAGCACCTAACACTTTATCAAAGTTTTAATAATATCGGATGCGTGTGTAAATTTTGAGAAGGCAATTTCCTAGGCAAGGGCGTTTGAAGCAGACGATTTTTGCTCGCAGCGGAGATGGGTTTTTCGGGTTGGCCGGAGCGGGTCACGCGAATGGTGTGCCGTCTTCGTGTAGTGGGGGGGGGGGGTCAAGTGACCTGGGGGGGTCACGTGACGACGCCGATGATGCCATTAGTGACGTCACTGATGACGTCATCAGTGACGATGACGATGCCGATTCCGACGACGTCATCAGTGACGTCACTGATGACGTCATGAGCGATAATGATGATGCGGATGCCAGTGACGTCATCAGTTACGTCCCCGATGACGTCCTCCAGGATGATGATGTCGATGCGGATGCCGGTGACGTCATCAGTGATGTCACTGATGACGTCATCATTGATGATGGCGATGACGATGCGGATGCCGGGGACGTCTACAGTGACATCACTGATGACGTCATCAGTGATGATGACGATGCGGATGCTGGTGACGTCATCAGTGACGACACTGGTGACGTCATCAGTGATGATGATGATGACAATGCGGATGCCGGTGACGTCATCAGTGACGATGACGTCATCGGGGAGGTCACGTGACCTCGGCGGGGGGGTCACGTGACCCTGGGGTATCACGTGACCTCCCCCGAAGTCACGTGATACCCCCGAGGTCACGTGACCTCGAAGGAGGGGGGTCACGTGACCTCGGGGGCGGGGTGACCTTGGGATGACCTTGGGGGTCACGTGACCTTGGGGTGACCTTGGTTACGCCGACGCCGACGCCGCTCAAGCCGGGAACGCGCCCCTAAGAGGTGCGCTCTAAAAGAAAAAGGCTTCTTCTATGGAAACGCGACGCCACCGGTCTGCAAACAACACGGCGCCGCTTCGCACGGGAGACAAGAGATGGCGCAAGCAGTCGCGACGCCAACTGCTGCCAGCGAACGAGCAGACGACGCCGAGAGCCGCCCGGGCGCTGGCGAGTCAAGCGAGTTGACTGCTCGTGCAACCTCCGCCCAGTCGGTTTATGGCTTTGGTTTCAGACCGAAGGAAAAACAAATAGAAGTGAATATACACAATAAATTACATTTTATTTTCATGACGCGGTGAAGACGTTTTGTTGAAATTATTGTTATTCAACAAAGTTCTATATTTGTATTTTTGTATTAAGGTGCAACCCCACCGTGCATGACGTTTTGGTGCTTTTCCGACGGCTTATAA